TTTCATTGCTACATAACTGCCTACCATATGATGTATTGTAATTTCCTGAACTGCTTCCTTTCTGCTGAGCATCTGAATCATTTCCAGCTGTTTGTGATTATACAAAAAATGTCATGATTGTCTTTACATGTGAGCCTGTGTCTGCCTCCTGGGTGTGTCTCCTTGGGATTAGATTCTCAGAAGTGCAGTTACTAAATTAACATATTTAACATGCATAAAGATTAAGAAGTGTACCCCAAGTGACTAAATCAAAGGTCATCTTATCTCTGCCTTGACCTCTTCCCTGATCTCAAACAGAAGTTCAAGTAATCCTACAACAAAGATTCACCATCGTGTGTTGTTACACAGATTTAACATTAAAACACAGTGAAATGGCTCGGCGCCCATAGCTCCACCGGCTCAAGGGGCCGCCCCCGTACAACTAAGGTGGCGGGTTCGAATCCCCACTTCTGTGTCCCACTGCAGAACTGAGGATGGTGGCTGAGGATTGTGTGATCATACAGCACACAAAGCCTGAAACGTTTCATTTCTGTTCCTTTACAGAAGTTTACCGACTTCTGTACTCGATCGTTTTCTCCAAGCGTTTCAGATAATTACCATTAGTGTATTTCTGAACTTGAAGAATGGCCTTAAATTATCCACGGGACTGAGTAATTCAGTATTTTCCTTGCCACGCATCACAATGTGCATGTCCCCTCTGTGTGCCAGGCACATCTGAATTCACATTAGCACGGAAACTGGGCATTTCACCAATTCTCAAATAGCCACATCTCAAAAACCCGGCTGCACTTCAGCTGGTCGTTTCTGGGGGACCCCTTGGTGCTCGGTGGGCCTGCTGGCCCTTTCTCAGCTCTGCCTGCCCACCGTCGATCCCTGCCCACAAAACATTCCCTTGATGTTTCTCCTACTTTAAGATCATGGCAGAGTGAACTAAAATAGTAGCAGATATTAAAATCCAACACTTTTCATAGTCTATATCCCATTATGTTAGTTAGAATAAATTAAGTTTCCCCCAATTTTTTTCCCAGACATTTCAAAATTGCATTTTTCCTTGACTATAAAAGTTACATCTGCAGAAAACATGGAAGGCCCTAACAGTGATACTGGAAGTGCCCCTCTCCCCACACTAAACCCCACCTCTGATGCTCGCCACTGCAAATATTTGAGTTATAAATAGTGTTGAAGAAGATTCTGCCGCATATATAGTTTTTTCTTTTAATTTAACTTTATTCTATGCCATTTAAAATTTCCAGGAAGGCTCGGCACCTGTGGTTCAAGTGGCTAAGGCGCCAACCACATACACCTAAGGTGGCGGGTTCGAATCCAGCCTGGGCCTGCCAAACAACAATGACAGCTGCAACCAAAAAAAAAAAAAATAGCCAGGCATTGTGGTGGGCACCTGTGGTCCCAGCTACTTGTGGAGGCGGAGGCAGGAGACTCACTTGAGCCCAGGAGTTGGAGGTTGCGGTTTTCTTTTTTGCTACAGCTCTCTAGGAAGTGATTAGACGATTATAATAATAGCAGC